TAGTGTCATGTAAATTCAGATCCTGTTTTCCTGCACTGTGTACAGTGAAAAAAATATTTCTCTTTTCTTTTGTATGTTAGAAATGTAGATAGATATTCTGGTGTTATTTAGTAGTATTAGTTGTGTGTATTTTAAAAATAAAATGAAGATATGGTTCATAGATATAATGGAATATTACTCAGCCACAAAAAATGATGAAATACTGCTATTTGTGATAACATAGGATCTGGCGATAATCATGCCAAACAAAATAAGTTAGGCAGAATAAGTAGGGATCCACATGATTTCACTAATTGTGGGATATAAAACTGAAAGCAACAAATGAACAAGACAAACAAAAGTTCGGACAACAGTTTAGTGCTTACCAAAGGAAAAGTGGGGAAGGTGTGAGATAGATAAGGGGAATGGATATTTAACATATGGCGATGAAAGGAGATTTGACTTTGGGTGGTGAACACAGTACCATTCAGATGATGTATTATTGAATTGTATACTTGAAAAACATGTAATTTTATTAAGTAATGTCACTCAATAGATTCAGTGAAAATCAAAATAACAAATGAAATAGTGAGACATAACATACAGAAAACTGCACAAAACACAAACATACATCCAAGAAATTATTGGGAACCAATCACCTATGTATCACTTCCCAGGTTGAGAAGAACATTTCCAACTGGTCTGAAGCTCCTTTTTGTATCCAGTTAATCATCACTTTTATCTTCTTCTCCAGGTAGAATAATCCCTATCCTCGTTGTAATCTTTAATTTTAATTTTGCCTGTTATTGAACTTTATGTAAATGCACTCATACGCTGTGTAGTTTTTGGCTTCTTTTGTTCAATATTCTACTTTCTGTAACGTATCTAGATAGCTGTTATGTAGTTTTATTTCTATAATCTTTTTTAGCACCATTTTATTTTTATTTATTTTTAATAATTTTATTGGGGTGACATTGGTCATTGGTTATTAACATTATGTAGGTTTCGAATGTACACTTCCATGTATTGCACCGTGTGCTCTCCACCCAAAGTCTAACCACCCTCCATCACCATATATTTGACCCCTTGCCTTTTCATTTTGTTGATGATTTCTTTTGCTGTGCAGAAGCTTTTTAGTTTGTTGGAGTCTCACTTGTTCATTTTTGCTTTTGTTGCCTTTGCTTTTGGTGTCAGATCTAAAAAATCATTGTGAAGACCGATGTCAAAGAGTTTACCTCTGATGTTTTCTTCTGGGAGTTTTTTGGTTTCAGGTCTTAAATTTATGTCTTTAATTTATTTCGAGTTAATTTCTGTATATGGTGTAAGATAGCAGTCCAGTTCATTTTTTGCATGTGGCTGTCCAGTTTTCTCAATATCATTTATTGAAGGAATTGTCATTTCCCCATTGTATATTCTTGGCTTTTTTGTCATAAGTTAATACATGCATGGGATTATTTCTATACTCTGTATTCTGTTTTATTGATGTCTTTTTTTTTTTATCCTGATACAATACTATTTTGATTACTATAGTAATAGTAATATAGTCTGAAATCAGGGAGCGTGATGCCTCAGCTTTGTTCTTTCTCAAAGTTCCTTTGGGTAGTTGGAGACTTTTGTCGTTTCATACGAATTTTAGCATTTGTTTGTTTTATTTCTTTGAAATATGCCATTGGAATTTTGATAGGGATTGCACTGAATCTGTAGATTGCTTTGGGTGCAATGACATTTTAACAGTATTAATTCTTCTAATCCATGAGTACAGGATATCTTCCCATTTATTTGGGTCTTCAGTTTGTTTTATAAATGTCTTATAGATTTTAGTGTGCAAATCTTTCACCTCCTTGGTCAAAATTATTCCTAGGTCTTTTATTTTTGAAGCAGTTCAAGTGGTATTGTTTTCTTAAGTTCTCTTTCTGATAGTTTGTTACTAGTTTGTAAAAATCTGACAGATTTTTGTATATAGATTTTGTATCCTGCAATTTACTGAATTCATTTGTTAGTTCTTACAGAGTTTTTCTGGTAATGTGTTTAGGGTTTTCTATATATAATCCTAAATAATCTTTTCAAAAATTAACCTTTATTTTTTCTAAAAATAGTAATTTATCTTTTCAAAAGTAATCTTTTAGCTTAATTATATGTTTTATTCTATTTTGTTATGATTTGCTCTCCTTTTTCTTTTTCTAGTACTGACTTTGCTTTTTTTAAAGTAGCTTTTTAAGATATATACTTGCTTAATTTTTTCTAGCTTTTTCTCCTCTAACATTTTCCTTTCGGGTTATATATTTTGTAAATATTTCCTATAAATAATGTTTTATACTGCTTTTCATTCAGATAAAATATTTTCTAATAGATGTTATTTCCTCATTTTTCCTGAATTATTCTTAGCTAGTTTCTCAATTTCCAAATTGTAGGGATTTTTAGTTATAAATCTGTTATGATTTTTAGCTTAATTGTATGTGGTCTGTATGAATTCAGCCCTTTGACATTTGTTGAGATTTACTTTAAGGCTTAGTAAATGAGCAAGCTTTGCACATTTTCCTTGAAATCTTGCAAAGGCTGTGTTCTCTGCAAATATTGAAAGTCATGTTTTATGTATGTCTATTAAGTTATTAATGTTAATTGTGCCTTTCAAATGTTCTATATCTTTATTGAATTTTCAAACCCTATTTATGTATCCATTACCATGAGAAGTGTGTTCACATTTCCCACCAGAAGTAAATTTTCCCAGTTCTCCTTGTTAAATTAATTTTTCTTTACATATATATATATATATGTTTTTTTTTATTACCGAAAAATAACAGTTATTAGATTTTCCTGGTGAGTGAGAGATTTCATTCTTATAACATGAAGCTTTATATCAGTAATAACTTTTTTTGCCTAAAAATCTATTTGTTTGCTAATAACAGAGCTATGCCAATATTTTTGTGGTATATGATGTTCAACTCTTTATTGTCACTTTTCTGTATTTTTGTATTTGTTGAGTATACACTTTATTGAAGAAATAGTTATTGAAGCATACAGAAATTGTACAAAACCATGCATGTGTAGTGTAACGAATTTTCTCAAAGTGAATACACTCTCATCACTAACACTCAGATCATGAAGCAGACCATGACTGGCACTGCAGAATCCTTCCTCAGGTCCCTGTTCAGAGGCTGTCGGCATTTATATTTGTTAATAATTATACAACACAAAATGGAGAGGAATCACAGAAAGTGAGAGGGATGTGTTGAGATGTGCTGCGAGAGAACCACTTTATATGATTTCATTGTAAAGTAGCGTGTGGTTACATTAAAAAATACTGTATTCAACAAGAAAATGAAAGAGAAGGATTTTCTATTTGCACGAATTCTGCGAATGGCAAGAATTTTAAATGATAACTCCAGCAAAGAAGGTAACGAAAGATGTCTTGATGTGATAATACACAAAAATTAAAACTTTCTTCCATAAAAAAAAAAATCACAGTTAATATAAAGAATGAACTGGAAATATTACTAAGACAAAGGAGACAAAGATACATCTTTAATCTAGAAAGGCTCATACAAATCAATAAAAAATTTCCAGTAGGTATTAGGCATGAATAGACAATTACTAAGAGAATTAAAAATTAGGTTAACAGACTGGGGAATAGTCCCCTCACCAATAATCAAAGAAATTAAAACTAAAGCAAGGAGAATCCATTTTGGCTATCATATTAGTTATAATTAAAGGGAAAATGGGAACATCAAAATATTTGAAAATAAGGGGTATTCTCATTTGGGCATATTGGCAACATGGATAAAGAGCCCGAAAAATGTTCTACTGAGACATCTACTTTGTAGATATTAAAGTAACAGACTGTGAATGTAAGAGTTATTTTTTTTTTTTTTGGAGGTTTTCTGTGTGTTGTTATTTGTATTGGTGAAAGCTTAGAAATCCTTAATCCTTCAACAACGGTGAAATGGTCTATAAATCATGGACCTTTCTTCTGATGTAATCTCAGAGAGCCAAATGTTTAGCAAAACTCATGTTATAAGATTAAGCAAAAAAGTGTATATATGTGCCTCCAGTATTTTCTAAACAAAGTAAGAGACACGAACCCCTTAGAAAATGATACAGTTGACTTTGGGTGGTGAACACACAATGCAGTATAGACATGATGTATTATTGAATTGGACGCTTTAAATCTATGTAATTAAGTAATGTCATCCAATAAATTTAATAAAATTAAAAAAGAAAATGGCCGTCTGGAAATGATATAAAATATTATCAGTGATCTTCCTTAATTGTAGGGATGATAAGCGTTTTTTCCTACTTGTTTACATTTTACAAATTTACTATAATGAGCATGTTAAGTTCTGTAGAAAGGAGAAATGAAAACAACCAGAGTTTGGGAGCCAAAGAATCAAAGACTTGTCCCAATAACCCATAATCATGTACTGTCAGTTTTAGATTTAATCTCAATTGTGAGATTTGGGGCCAGCCCCCTGATCTATCTGTACCTCGTTTTTCTCTCTAGAATTATTCTTACTCTCTTCAATAGGATGTCTTTTTGATTAAGCTTATTTAACGTGAGGGTTATCTACTGTGGGTGAATTGCTTCCAAAGTGAGCCTTGGCCATGGTCCTTGGAACTCAGACACTGTGACCCTCCCAGGTCTTGTCAGCATGTCTTGCAGTTGTGTGGGACCTATGGGTCACAGACTGATCTGCTAACTAGGCTTCCTCTTAGAACTTGAGTTCTGTTGGATGTCATATTTGGTAGTCCCCAGACTCTAGTCTGAATCTGCTTGGACCCCTATACCCACTAATCAAGTCACTCTGTAGGAATGACTGGCTACTTCCTCTTCCAGGCTATAGCTCTGTCCCGGGCCAGTTGATCCTATTCCAGTTCTCCCAACTCATGCACTTTTTTGTTTGTTAAACCTACTCCTGCTGCCAAGCATCCATCCAGACTTGGATTTGGATTTTGGAAATACAATGGAGAGTTCCAGGGGGAAGGCACTTCAGAGAGCCCAAGATTCCAGGCTAGGGAAGGACTCTTTACTGAGTAGAGTATTTTCTCCAGCCAAAGAGTCTCCACAAAGCCTCCTTCATGTCCCTGTTCCTCAGGCTGTAGATAAAGGAGTTCAGCATGGGGGTCACCATTGTATACATCACAGATGCCACCATTCCAGTGTCTGCCGAGTAGGAGGATGAGGGCTGGAAATACACAATAAAGAGTGTCCCATAGAAGAGAGTGACCACTGACAGGTGAGAGCCACAGGTAGAGAAGACTCTGTGCTTCCCCCCAGCAGAGGGGACCCTGAGAATGGTATGGATGATGTGAGCATAAGAGACTAGGACACAGATGAGGGGGACCACACCTGAGAGGGCCGCCTCAGCAAACATCATGATGTGAAAGACATGGGTGTCTGAGCAGGTAAGTTTGAGGAGTGGGAGAAGATCACAGAAGAAGTGTTGGATGGAATGAGAGGCACAGAAAGAGAACTGAGACATCAGGAGAGTGAGTGAGAAGGCCAAGAGTTGGGAACAGAGCCAGGGTGCTGCAACCAGCTGCAGACAGCGTTGGGGACACATAATCATGGTGTAGTGTAGAGGAAGACAGATGGCCACGTAGCGGTCATATGCCATCACAGCCAGCAGGAAGTCATCCAGCAGAGTCAATGCCATGAATAAATACATCTGCACGAGGCACCCAGTGTGGGAGATGGTGTGGTCCTGTGTATGGATGTTCACTAGCAGCTTGGGGACAATGGTACTAGAAAAGCAGGTATCGACGAAGGACAAGTTGGCCAGGAAAAAGTACATGGGGGTGTGGAGGTGCTGGTCAGAACCTATGGCCAGGATGATGAGCAGGTTCCCCAACACGGTGACCAGGTACATGCCCAGGAAGAGCCCGAACAGGAGCGGCTGCTGCTCTGGGTGTTCAGAGAAGCCCAGGAGCAGGAAGTCAGAGACGCTGGTGTGGTTTCTAATTTCCTTTGAAGGCAGAGAAATTAGAGAAGGATCTTGCTTAAATAAAGATGGGCTCTGAATATTATAGAGTCCAAAGTTTGGTCTCTTTTTCTTGATTTGTGGAATAGGTTGCTAAGATTTTGCAGTGGCTGTGCTGGTTTGCACACAGGTACTCATCTGAGGGCTGTGGACTATGAATATAAAGCATCAGAACAGAGATGTAGTTTGGGTTCTATATTGCTGAAATATGACAAGTTTCCCACATGACTGATGCAGGTTTACCTGAAAGAATGTCTTCAAATATAATTTCCTTTTAAAAGAAACTTTTGAACAACTTTAGTTTAAAATTAGTGTTAATTTTATTATGTTATTGTCAAGCTCTTTTGGGAGTCATGCATGTACTAGGATTTAATGGCCAAAACAAGTTGCTTTGTTTGTATGTGTGTTAATGTGTGTGTGTGTATTGAGGGAGAGCGCAGCAAGACTGGTTTCTTCAGAGATGAGCTATCTTGGATTTAGGGGTCTCTAAGTGGACTGGGGGTACTCGGGCTCCTTCGTTATTGATGATCGTTCCAGTGAGTTAGTGTGTAGAAAATTACAAATGATAGGCTCTTTATCATAGGACACATTTTTTTTTTCATTTTAATCATCAATTAATCTCAGCGTCTACTGTATTAATATCTGGGCTTTGAAATTCTGGATTGGGGTGAGAATCCTTTCTGTGTTCCCTATTCTCAGTCTTTCCTTGGTCATTTACTTGACTCTGAGTCTGTTTCCTAGTTTGTAACCATGTGTGACTATTTCATAGAGTCATTGAAGTTATGATTAAGAAAACACATATGGAAGTACATTAGTATTAGGGAGAGTGATGTCATTGTTTTTTCAACAGTAGATGATGAAGTGTGAGCCTCATTTTGGGAACACACGAGGTCATGGAAAAGCATCAGCTGACCTGCTTACAGCTCTGTGACTCACATGTCTTTTATTAAAACTTCGGAAAAGTTTTCTCCCTCTGATTCTTGCTTTTTATGTCTATAACACAGAGATAACAAACCTAGGGAGAGGCTTGTTGAAGACATCAAATGCTGGAATCAGTGGAAGGTTTTCCATGAACCATGATGTGCAATCGAGATGAGAAATTTTAATGTTCCTCTTGATGGTGTAGAGGATTAAATGCAATGACCCGTCTGTGGCAGCATGTGTTAATGTCATATTTAGTGTCATGATAAAGAATATAATACACTCTGGAGTCTGATTAAATTTTCCCACTCTTTATTCTTGATGTGACCTTGTAAACGTGACTTTAACTTTTTTGGCTTCAGTTTCTACACTTGTTAATAGGGATAATAATAGAGTTAACTGGGTAGAGTGGTAATGCGGATAAAATTAAATTTAAAACTGGTTATACGATATGTACTAGTAAGCTGGCTTACAGTATGGGCTCAAATATGTGATCTGATATTGTTATTGCTGTTTTTAAGAAAGTGATGGTGCTTTATTGTAGTGTCTTGGTCACTGCCTGCAGGTTGGGCTTGTGAATTGTGAGCTGTCAGTATAAATGTCGTCGTCCTCATCATCATCATCACCATTATCAGCACCACCTTTGAAGGATTATAGCTCTACTGAGAACTGTGGATGGTAAAGCATTTGTTTAAGCATCTGGAAACCAAGTGTAAATGTGGTAAAATAGCTTATTCCTCAATTATTAATTGTATAATGGGAATAAATAAGTCTATCTTAGAAGTTAGATAGACTTGAGCCCCCAATTATTAATTGTATAATGGGAATAAATAAGTCTAAGTTAGATAGACTTGAGCCCCCAATTATTAATTGTATAATGGGAATAAATAAGTCTATCTTAGAAGTTATTTGATGGCTCAAGTTCTAAGAAAAAGGATGTGACCGGGGTGGATGTAGAGGGGTTAATTACTAGTGGGTACCTGGTGTGGCGCTTGAGAGTGAATTGAGAACCACGCCTGCCTGAGAGGACTGAGAGATTTATGCTTTGTTAGCACACAGGTGCTCTGTCCTGTTACTGATGGGCTTTGGGGAAGGTTGTCTAAAACCCGTTCTCCAGTATACTGTAAGTCTCACAATTAGGGGTGTGATGAACATCAGAATTAGATGCCCCTCATGGTGAACAGAAGAACCAGAAAATGATGGGCAGATAGAGATAAAAAGAGAAATGAAGAAAGGGAGAAGCTCGGTGGGCTTTGTGTGTGTGTGTTTGTTCTATAGGCAGTGGGTGCGTGTGTGTGTGCCCACATGTGTTCACAGGTGAGCCTTTGGTAGACTCTGCTCTCTCTCCTCGTCCCTGTGCCTCAGTTTTTACCTGGAGATGCTGGCCAGCCTCCTTATGTGACACCTCCAAGAGGAAGATTGAGTTCGCTGTCACATTGTCTGCCCAAGAAGTCATGGCTGGAGTTGTAGAGCCCTTCCTCGTCTGTAGGAACAGCAGAGACTGAAGACTTGGGTCTTTAGTGGTAGCTCAGGCACAGGAGCTGGGAGGAGCTCTGACTTTTCACGGGCAGTGTCTCCTGGGACCCATTCCCAGACCTCTTAGTTAGAGACAAGATGGGGCAGATGTCCAACCTTTTCAGCTGTCCCCTCTAGACTTGACCGCCTGAGTTCCAGATAATTTTATGAGAATGACCAGGGCCAGGCTCCATGGGAGCAACTTGGTTATGCCCTTGGTCGAAGTGCAGCTTGGATCCATTCTCCCAGCTTTAACCCTTAATCGGGTCCATCTCTCTCTTATGCAGTCCATACTTTTTAATTAGAGCTCTGTTCTCAAGAACAAAATGAAATAAGTCCCAGAAAATAAGTAAAAAATAAAAGTGAAATAGATTGGAGTTCACAGTCATCGCCTTCAAATGTCATGTAGAAGAGGTACCATTTTTATTTTATATCACCCCAGAGAACAGCGATATATATAGTATGTTATAGTATGTAGATCTCTGTAAGTCCATGGTGTGCTCTCTGGACTTATTTATTTTAGTTGTAAATGTATATTACATATAAAAGAGTGTATAAAGCGTGTATGTGCTAAGTAAAGAATAATAATAAAATTAATGTATGTGCTAGTTAAATAATAATAATAAAATTAAGGCCTGTTCTCTGACCCCTCAGCTTAATCCTTTAGACACTGTGTGCACCTGTTTTTGATCATATTCCTTCCTCCCTCTTTAGAGGAAACCACCATGGTGAATATTGTCCACCATTTTCTTCTATTCTTTTGTAGTTTTGCCACATAGACATTGTTTGGTAGGTCACCAGAAAGATGTGAGAGCTAGATCTGGGCAATTATAGAGGCTCCTCTTCCCTCCCCTGGCCTTGGACCGGAAGTTCTCTCCTCTGTTCCCACAATTTTCAAGGAGACGGCCTTAAGAGAGCAACGTGGTGTTGAGACCACCTGGACCCTATATGTCACTGAATCTGGTTAAAGCCTCTACGTAAACTTGAAGATACTGGCAGGCGGGTGGGGAGAACCTACTGGTCTCCTGTGCCTAAGGCCAGCCACTGAAGTAAGTTCCATTGTTTGTTAAACTGGCCACCTACCAATCTGAAGAGGTCAGACGTTCTTCATTCTCTCCCGGCCCTCTGTCTACCAGGGCCGGTTTGCCAACCGACATGCCTATGTGTCTAACCTGTCTGTTTAGAGCATTCCGTGGATTTGCGTCTTTTTTTTTTTTCCCCGTAAATGGAATTAAACTTTTTTTGCAGTCTTCTATAAATGGCTTATGTGCTCTACATTATTTTTTTTAGATTTATTCATGTAAATGCATGTAGCCGAAGGGCATTCGTGTTCACTGATGTCTTGTGCAGGTCTCACCCCCTCGTTATAAATTCTTGTCGCCCACTGAATATCAGATTTCAGAACTGTTCGTTCTGGGTTTATTTATATTTTGTGTATGATTCCTATACAGTTTCTGGGTGAGCACTCCGAAAAAAAAAAACACATAATATTTCCATAGCAGAATGAGTGAATATTCACACTAAATCCCACTTACACAGACTATTAATAGCCTCATGTAAATTCAGATCACGTTTTCCTTCTTTCTAAATGTGTTCACTTAAAAAATATTTTTCTTATCATAGCTTTTGTATGTTGGAGACATAGATAAATATTGTGGTGGTATATGGTAGCATTAATTGTATTTTAAGCACCGAAAAGAAGATGTGGTATATGTACAATTGAATATTACTCAGCCACAAGCAAAGATGAAATACTGCCGTTTGTAACAACATGGATTGATTTCGAGATTATCATGCTAAGCGAAATAAGTCAGACAGAAAAAGTTGAGAACCATATGATTTTACTCGTATATGGGATATAAAACTGAAAGCAACAAATGAAAATTCAAACAGAAACTCATAGACACAGACAGCAGTTTAGTGCTTACTGAGAAGAAAGTGGGGAGAGTGTGGGGTAGATAAGGGTAATGGGTATTTAATATACGTTGATGAAAGGAGATTTGCCTTTGGGTGGTGAACACACAGTGCCATTCAAGATGATGTATTATTGAATCGTATACTTGAAAAACATGTAATTTTATTAAGCAACGTCACCCAATAGATTTAGTAAAAATCAAAATAACAAATGAAATAGTGAGACATAACATACAGAAAACTGCACAAAACACAAACATACATCCAAGAAATTATTGGGAACCAATCACCTATGTATCACTTCCCAGGTTTAGAAGTAGAACATTTCCAACTGGTCTGAAGCTCCTTTTTGTATCCAGCTAATCATCACTTTTATCTTCTTCTCCAGGTAGAATAATCCCTATCCTCGTTGTAATCTTTAATTTTAATTTTGCCTGTTATTGAACTTTATGTACATGCACTCATACGCTGTGTAGTTTTTGGCTTCTTTTGTTCAATATTCTACTTTCTGAGACTTATCTAGATAGCTGTTATGTAGTTTTATTTCTATAATCTTTTTTAGCACCATTTTATTTTTATTTATTTTTAATAATTTTATTGGGGTGACATTGGTCATTGATTATTAACATTATGTAAGTTTTGAATGTACACTTCCATGTATTGCATTGTGTGCTCTCCACCCAAAGTCTAGCCTCCTTCCGTCACCATATATTTGACCCCTTGCCTTTTCATTTTGTCGATTTTTTTTTTTTTTTTTTTTTAAATAAAGGACTATTTCTTTATTATAGTGTCTATATCAGTGTCCATGCCTACAGGTGTAAATCTTTGGGCTCCATTTTTCTTCTCTGTCATCTTTGACCTGAGGCCATTGTAGAAATAAAGCTAGGTGTTCCAGATAAGAATAGAAGAAGAAAACT